AAAAAATATATTCTTGAAGCCCCAAACACATTTCTCATGTGATGGCATTTTTTGATGCCCAAAATATTAGAGTGATTTCATGTGGACAATGACACTTTTTACCAAGAAAGGTAATATATCTTGTATATAAGAATAGCACTATCACATTCTCTCTTCTTCTTTTTTCATCTTGTCGCACTCAAATGCCTCTCTAACTCACAGAAAATAATGCAGTGGAATGGAATACATCTATTGATCCTCCATAGTCATTCTATTTTGAGATATTTAGACAGCAAATATTGCAAGATTTTGTTTCATAAAGTCAAAAAGCCAACAAATAATTTCATAAAAATAGTACCTGTTTGATTAACAGGTTAATAAAATAGTACCATTAATACTATTAATCAAACATGCCCTAAGTGTCATTCAAGGAGAAAAGAAAAAACAAAAAAAAAGAGATTAATTTAACTCCTATCTATTTTGGTTAAATTTGTTTGCGAATAGGAAAATTAGCTAAAAAGCCAAAAACTAACACATAAAATCAACTCATTCTCTCTATTTAAAAAGCCACAAAAAATAAAATTAAATTATGGACTTGTATCACATACATACATACATACATAAAATACAATTATACACTTGTATCCAATCAAAACTCAGTTTTCCATTTTCCCCATTATTTGTAAATCAAATTCGAATGTTATCAAAATGCTATACAAACTAATAAATAGGTGTTTTATGTCCATGCCTGAATGCACTAGCTAATAAAATTCTTATATTACAATCTATGTGTTGCAAAAATGTTAACGACCATAAAAATGTTTTATGAAAAGTGTCTCAAAGTTGTGATCAAACAACCAAAAATGTTTAGGATCAATCAATCAACCAACAAAGGCTAGATGATTTTTCGTAAAACTTTTAAGAGAAATTATGTATTATGTAGCATACCCAAACAAATATAGCCCTGAATAGTATATCAAAAAAACCATAGGAAGACCACTATATCAAAAGTTACATTGATCACAAATTGTTCTAGGACCATCTCAGATGAAACAAACAAATTTAGATGAGTAAACTAATCCAAGCCTTAAGTCCCATCAAATGGGATCGATTGCATAAATAAAAATGTACACAATAAAATAATCAATTTCAAATTAGTTTAATAAAAATTAAAATTAAAATTAAAAAGCCATTGCCTATTTTGAAGAGTGATTGTGGTCAGCCACCATGACAAAATAAGAAGCCACTTACACACAAATGCAAAAAATATATTCTTGAAGCCCCAAACACATTTCTCATGTGATGGCATATTTTGATGCCCAAAATATTAGAGTGATTTCATGTGGACAATGACACTTTTTACCAAGAAAGGTAATATATCTTGTATATAAGAATAGCACTATCACATTCTCTCTTTTTCTTCTTTCATCTTGTCGCACTCA